CGAGGAAACGGCTCGACCAGCTCGGTAAACTGGGACACCTCGAGCAGCAAAGAACAAGGACTCATGGGGTCACGGTTGGGTTAGGGTTTAAGGGTTAACGTTTGTTGAATATCACGGCTTGGAAGGCAGCCTTTTGACACAAGGTGACCCCCGCTGACTTGTAGACACTAGTACCACTAAATTACAACAACAAAGATCGGATTTCTGTTTGAAGAACTCAAGCCGAACATCTGAAGCCGAACCTGCCAGCTATGCACCACCCAACTCTTCCCGATGCACAACCGCATGCAAAGAAACGGGGCTTCAAACACCGAGCTCAAAATGCAGGCCCGAACTCCGAAGTGTGAAAGTCTTGGCATGCGCCAGCCCCGGAGCCCCGATCCCAACCCGCGGCTAGCCCCAAACCAGTGCTACAAGTATGGGCCAGATCCCTCCAAACACCGAAAACGGTATCCCCAAACCCAACCCTAAACCCCCAGGTACCTACTATATAGGGTACTAGAGCCCCTAGTGCCCAAAAAAAAGGTACCTGGGGAGGGTCAGGGCAAGGAGTCGTAGTGACAGGACCCGGATCTGAGCCAGAGGACAAACAAGTTGAACTCTTCAACCTGAACCACCATACTCTCAACGGACCCCCCCCCCGCCACCTAAACCCTAAACCCTAATCCCTAAACCCTAAACCCCAAACCCCTAATCCCTAAACCCTAAACCCCAAACCCCTAAACCCTAACCCTAAACCCCCCATTAATTCTGTCGGAAGGGCCTGGTTCAGGGTCGGAGGATCTCGATCTTCATTTACCTGGCGCATCATCTGGCTTCAGGCATCATTAATCTACGGGCCTTCATAATTAGAACAGGGTTTCGGGGCCCGTTTGACTATAATTATAATAAGGAACCCTCTAAAATAGTATTCGCAATCATTTAGGCCTTTCGGCGCCTTTCGGCTTCTATATTAACTTGAAGACACAGTCACGGCAGCAACAACGACCTCCACAACAGCAACAGCAGCTACAAGCACAGCAAGCAGGGTGCGAGCAACGACGTCTCAGTGTGAAGCATCAGCTTTATAAGCTTTTGCTGTGACACAGACAACATGATCTGTTGACTACTGCTCACCACATTGACATGTAATGCATAAAGAAGAATGCCGGGAAGTCGATGCCGTTGAAGACCTGCAGTCGCTGTCTGCGAATGTTGCTTCCAGCATGATGTTCATTCTTGCAGAGAAGTTTCAGCAGTTTCAGCTTCCGGGTCGCTTCCGGGTCTTTATCGATCTATCTTGCGAGACACAGAGCTTTGAGCACCCGCTGGTGACTTTGTATCCGAGAAACAAGGAAATGCTTGGCCGCATGTGCTCGCACGCAACCAGACCGAGCACACTGCCATTTGGTACGTGGTGGAGTGGCGCAGTCCGTTCTTGCCCTCAAAGACGATAAAGACCTGCAGAGGCAGAACTTAGCCGACGACTACAATGCTACTAGTGACGGGGAGGAAGAGGACGGTAATGACGATTAAAAATGAGTTTAAAGTACGTTGCAACGATCGCCACCACTGCTGCTACTACTACTAC